GGTAGGAGGAACCTTGACTCCTTCATTTAGCTGTCTTTTTAGGGCAAAGAAGATGAGATGGTGGAGTCCTGACAGAGTAGCTTAGGGAGCATATCTGCAAATGGTTGTGATAAGAACAAGGACAGTGGCCACAATGTAGGTGGTGTGCTATGGAAACATCACAGCTGATGAACTCACAGTAAGTTGAAAGCAACTTGATGAATCTTTGCGGCTGGTGGAGTCATGGATGAGGATGAACAAGTATGTGCCATCAGCTTTGAAACTTGGAAGGTTTCTTTGCACGAGATCAACGATGATCTACATGAAGCATGGAACTGTTCACTGGTATGAGATGATGACATGAACTGATGCTTAGTTGATAGCAGATGGGATGATCCAATGAAGCTCTCCATCTTCTTCAAACTTGGGACTCCAAACTGTGTCACTGAACATGCAGCAAATGGAGAAGAAATCCAAGGGAGAGACATCACATCATGTGTATTCCAACACAGTAGTATGAGAAGATTACAACTCCATTGTTGACCCCCAACAACTCATGAGGAAGCACAGAAAGGCATACTAAGGACACATAGATTTGAGGCCTTTGATAATATGTTTTCTAAGGGGGCAAAAAAAAAAGTGATCATTTTACAATGAGAGCATAATGTTTAAATTCTAATCAATATTAATTTTTTTTTATTTAAGAATATTTTATATGGTCCCCAAATACAGAAACACTTCTCTCCAAGTGATGAGGGATAGATACAAGCAATTCTTAGGTTGAAACTTCTGTAGATATATATATACCCAACCTATTACATTAGCAGTAGTGATGTTCTCTTGCTGGCTTCTGAGCTTAATGTGGATTAGATAGTTGATTTCCAATCAATGGGCAAATAGCTATGATAATTATCATTAAAAGATAATAATACAGGTACGGTCAGCCTCTACCATCAACCTACAGGTTTATGAAAATTGTCATAAAAAAAAAAATCTTCTAAGCTACAGTTTAAGATCCTAAAAAACCTAAAAACGCATCGAGCACTCTTATCATGCAACAAGACGATACAGCAGTAAGACGGTGAGTACCATTTTCTTCCTCTCCTTTAATATACCGACACATAATACACCGATATGAATTAAACTCGATCATGAGTCAACATAGAACATAGATGCAGTATGATGTCACTGGCTACAAAGATTTTCTTAGTTTCCGTTCAGAGAGCTCTACTGCAATATAAAACAATTCAGGCACTCGATGATCTCGTAATCACATATTGTTTCCTACACAAATCTTATGTGGAACAATTGGAAGTAGAATCTTTTGACATGGCTTAAACCATTTGCTAAGGACCACACCTGATAATACAACCTTATGATAGACTTCATTTCTTACCATTTTGTCGGTATTAAAGGAATTTTCCAAATAAAACCCAAGGACAATTGACGGACTAATCTCTTCTTATTTCTGAGTCCATAGCAAATAACCTCAAAGCAAAATAAAGGGCTTCAAATTACAATGCTAAGAAAAAACCAACACAATAAAAGAAAAGATGATGATGGAGATCACAGACATCCATCGTACACCACCAAGCAAGCATACAAATAAGACCGACAACTAGTTGTCTTACATAGTTTAATTAACACTTAAGGCAGACAACTTACGAATACCACAAAGAGGCTTAGTGACATGGATGCACACCAAATACCTGATCAGCAGTCTTGCTCGGAGAGGGAAACACAAGTTCACCTCGGAGCTCTTATTCTCCAAAAGAAATTATTAGCAGAAACCCATAAGGTTCATATGATCTGATAAAAGACAGGTGAGGATGCAGACACCGTCACATTTCTCCTGCATTCAGAAGATGGTTAAGTGTAAGGTTACAATGCATATAATCGATGGATTTGAAGGAACAAGTGTTTCCATACAAAATCCATCTCAATTCCAGGCAATTAAGGGCACAATTTCATGAAACAATTAAAAAGATATTCATCATTCGACATAATAAAAGGCTTAGTGTAAAGTGTGATGTGCAACTGTAGCTCTTCTCTACATCCCTTCTCTTCATTGAGTCTCACATATCAATCATCATTTCTGAAGAGAAGCCAGAAATGGGAACTTTTGTAAATGAAATGAATTGTATGGGGAATTACTCGGTTGCAACTCGAGATAAATTCATCACATGCCTCGTATATGCACCTTCACCTTCAAATTATGTTATCAGTGATACTATGTATGCCCTGAGCTAGTGCAGCATTTTAGTCGGATCTTCCTCTAACAGCAAGAGGCTCATCAGAGAAATCGAAATGCGTACCATTTGTGTGTCATCAAGAAAGGTCACCCGAAACAGCACCTCCCTCAAATTATTGAAACCCTATTGTTTCAAGATTCTTACTACTGCAGCTCAAGATACAGCCACAGAGACCTCTTATTCCCCACTCATCAACTTGCCTAAAGGTTCATCCCATAATCTCTACTAACTAAAGCATATAAATAGTTCTCCTTCAGTAAAAGTTTATCCCGATATCTCTACAACCAAAGTGAATGGTCAGATTGAGGACTGTTAAATGCCAAAAAGAAAGAATTGATTCAAGAATACGCTTTTGCACACTGTCCCACCCTTCCTTTTCATATGCTTTAGCATTAATATTTTTGGTATCTTCAAATCTATTATGAAAACAAATAATATCCAAGGACTTACAGTAAGGAACAATCTTCCACCTCTGGTTATCACCCTTCAGCCACTCCCAGAGCACGACAAAGGTTCCATCTCGGACTCCTCCATGGTCCTTGTCCCCATGTAAGGCATCAAAGTTCAACCGAATGTTGTTCACCATTCTTATGCATCGGAAGCCATCACCTGTGTCCCTGCTCTCGGTCCAGAGCACTGACTCATCAAGATAGTCTGGTTTGTATGGAACCAGCCGAACCTGCAAACAATTTTAAGAAAGAGACTCCAAATTCTCACAGAAGTTCTCAAGAAAGCAAAAAATGTTCAGACCTTCGATAAGAGACTTGATGAAGAAATTAACCCATTTACGACCGCAATCTCCTAAAACACATTCTTTATGATATATTTCTGTCAGCTAAATGACTATGAAAAGTTCATAACTTCGATAACTAAAAGACTTGAAGGAGAAATCAGCCCATTTATGATGGCAATCTCACAAAGGAGGATCATGTTACATCTCCCTGACAATTTTTTAGGCTGAAAACATTCTCAAAGGCATAGTTCTGTAATTTAAATGCTTACGATGCAAACAAACTCAATCCATAAAATTTAACACGTTACCATAGAAAAATGAGGGAAGATACGATGAATCAAAGCAATGGCTACGCAAATAAGGCTAAACTTACAGGGTGGGTTGCTCCAATGGAGTGCTTCACGGCTTCTCCAGTAGCCTTATTAATGAGAGAAAAACTTGGGAAGCCCTCTTCATCCTTTACCTTGGTGCTATACTTCATATCCTTGATCCAGTGCTGCCAAAACACATTGCCAGTGAGCAGACCTCAAGAAAAAGAGATTCTGATCCCAAATTCATGATTCATGCAAACTTGAAACTGAGCAATAATTATAGAGATATGACAGTTTCATTACAGATCTCAATGACTTTTTACATACCTTATCGGCGGCAAAAGATCCACGTAGCCGATTCCAAATAATTAGGACTTACCCACCTTGTTGTTGTTGTTATTGTGCAGTTTCATTACGAAGAACAAATACAAATACAATGGAAACGATTTAAAATTTTCGATGTAAAAATCTGATTTTTACGAGGGAGAAGAAAGTCTAATTCCAAGAGAGGTCGCATAACGATTGCAATTTGCTTAGAATCTTGCCTGGGACGGGTCGCTGGGATCGTTGCGGGAGAGGATCACCTTCCCGTCCCTGATAGAAAGAGAGTAGTTCTCCTCCGCCCTGGTGAAGATCCTCACGGTGGGCTGACGAGGCCGCGATGGCTCCTCCTCGCAGCCGTCGCGGCCGCCAGAGGAGTACGGCGTGGGACGGCGGTGGTGGAGCTCGTCGCCGCCTCCACCCCCACCGTAGTAGCCGCCAGCGGGAGGGTGGGGGCGGGACTCGCCGTACCCCTGCGTCACGTGCTGGACGGGCGGGTAGGCGGGTCGGCCGTACTCCTCGGCACCGCCGCCGTGGTAACCGGGAGCGGGAGGTTGGGGGAGGGTCTCTCCGTACCGGGCCCCGCCACCGTGCGAGACGTGTTGAACGGGAGGGTGGGCAGGGCGGCCGTACTCCTCCTCAGCGCCGCCGCCGCCGTAGTAAGAGGAGGGAGGAGGCGGCTGGCCGTGGTGGTGCTGGCCGGGCGGGGGGAAGCGACGCTCCTCCCTCTCATCCTCCTCGTCGCGGCGTTGCTGGTGGTGGCGGTGGTGGCCGAATGGGAACTCCATTGGGGATCAGATCAGCTGTTGGCACACGACGACGGTGCTGCCCTCCGCTTCGTAGCGATGGGAATGGGGGAGCACAATAGAATTATGGGGAGCTCCAAGACGACACGTGTCGATAGATCCAGTGACTTCCGAAGAAGGCAATCCTCTCCGTGCCGCGTGCGAGAGGGTACGTGGCTCGCCTGTCCGCGTAGGCCGGGAAACACTAATCTCTTGGAGCAGCTGGGATGAGAAGAGGTGGGGCCCGTCGCAGTGATGGGAGGAATCTAAGTGTCCCCTGTCTCTAGCGAGACAGGTCAGCACCACGCCCGGAGGGAGAGGACGACGACTGGTTGCCCCGTCGCGATCGTGCGCTGTAGTGGAGAACCATGCGCCGCGTCGCGACTCAAGTGACGACTAGGGCACCAGCACCGAACGTGCAGTACGACCCTACACGAGTCCCACGACTGTGTCGGTGGCTGGACTCGTGACTAGTACGATGTCTCACAGAAGGTGTTCGGAGAAAGCAGCTTCATGTAATCACATAACCTTTCAGATCCACATTGCATACCAGATAAATGATGCAAACAGTTCTAGCAACCAGTAGAGATGATACTTTGAGAATGCATCTGCCAAAATCTTGCTAAAAAGAAGACAGTAAAGATATCTGATTTCAGTTGTGTATGGTGCTGTAGTCACAATCTACGACACTAAAAATATATATATCGAAAATCCAAGAACGGCGATACGCCTCAAGCAATCACAGCCAGAAGAATGGCAGGGGAGGCGCCCGCAAGCTTTCCGATCCTCGCATGATGCCAGTAGTCAAAGGTCCGTGGCAGCCTTGGCTTAGGCTTTGCTCATAAAATTAGGGTTAACCAAATTAACAATTTAGTCGGCTATACATCGAGCTGCAGATAGCTGGTACTCCAGGTAAAGGAATCATATATCTGGGAAGGCAACAGGAATTGACAGCAACAGCAACTTTAGATATCGGATTTTCTTGATTCAATGTTTGAACTCCTTGGAGGACCCGTGCATTCTTGAGGATTAGCATAGAAGTAGTCCTCGTCTTTGGGGCGCCCGGGAATAACCTTCCTTAGTGTAGGTTGACCCATCCTGTTTTTGTGCACTTCCTTAACTGCGATCGAGAACTGGTCCCACGATAGTTTTCCATCCCGGAGAAGATCCAAAAGCTCTACGAGTTCTCGTCGATCCAACACAATTGTCCTACGAAAGCCTGTATACCTACACACAAACAAGAGAAACCCATAAACAAATATTTGAGCTGGATTCACATGGAAGAATGAATCTAAGCGACAAATGTAGCACACAAGTTTTAGTTCACAAAGTGCATAAGATAGGTAGCAAGGATCCATCAGACCTAGGAAGCATGTTGGCCTCAGTGGAAAAATGAGGTGTAATTAATCAGAAAGTATCTGATGAGGCATCTCAAATGAAACTCCAGAAAGAAGTGTCACTATCATATAGATATATCCTAATTATTATGAGAGATACTTCACATCTATATTACTGAAAAGCAAGAATCTCAGGAAAAAAGAATTCTTGTCTTAGAAGATTAGAAGTGGCAAATCTGATGAAAGATCAAACCTGCGATGTCCTTCCACAACTTTAGCCATATTCCCATCATAAGTGGGGACAAAAACATCACTTGCAACAGAGACTAGATAGTCCAATGCTGCCATCTGAGTTGAATGGTTCTGGAAAGGCCTCAGTTCATCAGCGCTAAGAAGCATCTCCTTCCTAACCTGAAGGGTTAAACTACCGATAAGAAAATTGTATGCATATTTCATTCAACTGCCCAAGGACAGAACGCTTACAATTTTGGGATACGAAGCCCTCAACGCAGCCAGTCTCCTTTCACCACCATAGATTCCACCAGAGGCAATGTATATTAGAGTGTCCCTTTTGAAGCCGAGAGCTTGTAGTACCAATGCTGTTTCTTCAGGAGTAAGAGGGCACAAACCATCCAATCTTTTCTTTTCTGATACTATTTCCTTCTCTTTCCACCATGGATATGCATATCTTGAAGTGCAAAGGTCCCAACAAATCTTTTTAATAATTGAAGAGAACCGTGAATAAAGATTAAATACTAAATAGCAAACCTCATCCTTGTGAGTTCTTCGGTTTCTTTGTCAGAACATCCATGTGTGCAGCCAGAAAAAGAGAGCATATCCATCTCATATCGCAGGTGTAGAACGACAAAAAATCCACTTCTCCGAAGAATTGAAATAAGCTTATCACCTAGGGCCTCAATTTCCGGTGTAAATCTTAATGCCTCATAGTTAACACGACAACGAAGCCTTTGGAGACGTAAAGGAAGTCCGTTATTTGCGAGACGAGCATCGGTTCTATTAAAATGAATTACCTTGTGCTTCCTTATAAGAGGTAAAATCTGTAATCAAATTATTTGTTCAAAGATTACATTCTTGGAATAAATAGCAACCGCCATTGACAAAAAAAGACTTTCTTAGCTAACCTGCTTCAAGTAGTATTTCTCACTAGACCAGCTGACTGGAGGCATCGAGAATGGTTCAGTGTGGATTTTTCTGCCGAACTTTTTAGGGAGTGATTTTACAATCTTAACTTCATCTCTCAAAGAATTAATAAAGTGATTTACATTGAATATGTCACCAAAATCACTGCAATTAGTGCATGTATTAGTTTAAAGATATAACTCTTGAACAACAAGAGAAAGCTAACCAAGAGATCCATACCTAGGATCAGCCCAGAAAGATGTTTTATCAAGTTCAGGAATTACTAGTGTTAGATTCAGATAACGTGCTATAGTAACCATGTCACAAATCTGCAAGAAACAATAATAGTTATAACATATTGACAAGCAACTTGAATGCAGCGATATGATATGTTGGCAAACAAAATTGAGGAGATGCATGAAATGGAAATATAAAGATATACAAACCGCTGCTCGCATTTGATTTAGGCCCCCATTGCATGATACTTTGAGATAACCATTACTTTTGTAAACTCCTGATCAAGAGTTAAACATGTTCTCAATATGTCAAAATAAAATGTGAGAGAAACAAAAGGAAGAAAAAACAACTTTAGCCAGCAATATTTCAGTCAGTTGAACATCCAGAGGATATAAATCTGATGTAAGAACAAAAAAAAGTTCAATCACCAGAATTTGCTTTGATTATGCCACTCATTGCATTATCAACTTAGAATAGTGCATGAGTGGTAAGTAGTGCTTTCCGCACCCACCCTTTTGAAACGACGAACCAAAACGATGCCATATATTTTCTAATAATAATTGGTGGAGGTCATAATTTGATCACAGTAGAGAGATTTATTGGTGTTACAAAGAACATTTAATTATATCATAAAAGTGGGTGTTTGAAGGTGTAATTCTTAAAGTGGATGGATAAAGAATCTCCTGTTATAATAGTGCTTTAAATGACCATATAAAATAAGAAACATATCACCACATTTGCTAGGATCGGTAAATATGTTAGCATAATAACATTGGTCTTTAAATTATGGAAATGCTACTTTCATTATTGTCCTTTCTATCTCCCTCTATGAAAATTCAATATTGATATCCTAACTTTCCACTTTATGTAATAAGTTAAAATGTTTAAGACTACAACTTAATCTACTTGACCTTAATAAGATATATCTTTTACTTTTCTAAGCACAAGAAATCTAGTAATAAATTGTTCTTCATGAGTATTAGTTACTGAACTTTGTAACCAAAGGGTTCTTACAAAATAATCAATAACCATGCAATTTTAGCTAAAGAAAAAGGAAAACTATATATATATATATATATATATATATATATATATATATATATCTAGCAGCTCTTGGTACTTAAAAACCATTCAATAATGCTTCGATTCCTCAGTTTACCTTTATTTTGTTTACGTTGAGCACTGAGGACAATCAACAATGCAAAGTTCTCTTTCTGGGAAGTTCCCATATCATTCACCTTATTATTACCATCACATGTGACACCGAATCCAAGCTTACCAATTAAGCACAAGGAATAAAAAGATACGAATTGCAGTGTCAATGCCATTATATTCCAGTATAGGTCTCTAAAATAATCAAAATGTAAAAGAGGGTTAATCAGAGTTTATATGCAAGAATCCAAGTGATACTGCAAATGATTCGTGCACACTGAACAACACAAATCCATCAAAAAACCAGTCAAATGTTTCTTTTTCAGGGTTGTGTCAAAATATAGGGGAATTTTGGAGGGATTTTCAACTCTTAGAGGATTAACTGGAAGATGGTATACAATCATAAAAATTTGGTCATCTCCAGCAGAGCATAGATAACTGAGAGAAAACAAGGATTAAAATCCTGCTAGCCAACCACGGCATGGATAGTTTAGTCAGGTGAATATCAATGTTGGATAGCAACACAGTGACGATACTTGGTTTATCCAGATGCCAAATTAGGATGAAGCCCTGATAAGTAAATAAATCAAACTTGCAAAGCATTCCAGTTCTAGACTAAAAGTTAAAGAAATGTTAGGATCCAAATTCAGTTTATTCAGATGATAAATTTATATGACTCATTGCTTGACATCCTAATTTGGGGTTAAACCTTAAAATATCCAAATTTGGTGTTTCCTTTTGTAACAACCTAATTTAATCCCATATTGGAAGTGGATTAAAACTTATATTGACTTATAATAACCGATGGGCGTACTCTTATTAACTTGGGCTTAATTATTTTGGACCAATGATTTAAGCTCACCAAAGTTTACAGATCAATTATTCCATTAAAATTAAATTATGATATTTTTTTTCAAATTAATTGGTCAATTATTCTATTAAAATTATTCTATTCATAACCCAAGGATGTGAATATGATTTGTTCAGCTCATCTGTTCGCCTTTGGTTTTGGGTTGCTCTCTATAATTTCTAGGATTGGAGGTGAATTCCACAGGGCTTTTCTGTTCTGAAGTAAACAACTTGGAACTGCTAAAGATCCGGCAGAAGCCAAGTCTCCTACACAATCTTAAGGACTCGCAAGTGAAGACATTGCAAGCACATGGACCTGCTGGCGTGACTCTAATCGAAGCTTATCCACCCAGACGGCTAACACTAACTCCAAGTCCATGCTTGATTCTAATTCAGTCGTGAAGATGTCATAAATAACAATGTCTAAGACGAAAGAGAAAAAAGATCCAATTTGTGTTCCCATATCCCATTCCGATGATCCACATTCAACTAAATCAAGAGATCAAGCACGCTAGGAAGTCCGTAGACATATCGGAAAGAAATTAAGAAATCAAGAACCGAGAAAGAAGGCAACTTTCGGATCAAACCGTAATAAAGATGAAAATTTGGTGCAAGAGAGGAAGGAGGAGGAGGAGGACAGATCGGGACTCACTCCGCGGGAGGAGAGCGGGCGGCGAGGAGAGGGACCCAGAGAGCGCGTGGTCCTCGCGGCCGAGGACGGAGAGATTGGCGTTGGCGTTGGCGTTGGTGTTGGCGTCGTCGTTTCCCTGTCCGGCGACGGCACCACCGCGGCGGTCGAAGCAGGCGGGCGGCCACGACTTTGGGAGACGCGGCTGCCACACCGAAGTGAGCTGCATGACCGCCGTCCAGATGAGGATGCTGGACCCCACCCGCAGTACCCACGTCCGCATCGCTGCCCTCCGCCACGCTCCCCCGCCGAACGCCCTGCTCGCCGGTGGCGAGGGCTTCCGCGCCCTCGTGTCGTCCACCATCACCTCCGATCTCTCCCCCACCCCCCTTCCCCCCCCCCCCCAACGCACACAGGAGCAAACACCCAATCAAATCGGCGCCTGCATTGCCGTTTACCACGCCGATTCAGGGCCACAAAGAAACGGATAACCAAAGGAAAGAACTCGAAACCTAAATCAAGACGAGAAGCATGGGAGAACATTAATTTACCCTTTTTGAGAACGAAAGGGAGAGGAGGAAGGAAGGAATCGAAGAGGGGAACCGTAGGAGAGAGTGGAGTCGACGAGGAAATCTCGAATGCGACTGTTCGCCCGCCGATGATGGATTTGTGCTACTGAACTGGGAGGCGTGGGTGAGAGTGTTGGAGTTGGAAAGAGATGCCTCTTTCTTCCACGGAGCCTTTCACCTCCGCTTGCTTCATCTACCACTGTTCTTAGTGGCTTTGTTTGGGCGACGACAAAGAAGGGTTTGTGACCGTTGCTTTGTGGTGTGATGCAGTAATTTTTGGGTGCTTTCGACGGTGATGGAGACAAAGCAGTGCTGCCTGCGACAAGTACTGATGCCATGTGATGCGGACATCACATCGCAAGTCCTTTTTTTTTTTCTTTACCCTAAAATTAATAGGACGAATTTTCGAAAAAAAATTAAAAATATTTTCTCGAAAGATATCCTCATTTTTATTTTTTAATAATTTTTTTACTTTTTATTTTCTGATGGACCTGTCTAATTATAATGTTATAATATTTTTAATAACATTAGAAAAACTATAACACAACATAAAAATATATTTTTACTATTTTTACACTATAATATAATATTTTAAAAAACTACAATATAATATTTTTATATTATATTCTAGTATTTTTCTAGTATTATTGAAAACAACAAAGCATAGTTTATAAATATCTTAACTGAAACCAATTTATCTTAAGAGAGAGAAAAAAATGAATGAGGTATTTTAGATATTAGGTAAAAAATGGACATGATTAAAAAATCTAAAATAAAACAAAGTTAAAAATAGATTTTTTTTCATAAATTAGTCCAAAATTTTCTTTTTTTTCTTCTAAATCATCACAGGTAAAAATATAAAATTAATATTACGAATTTGTATTTTAGGTATTAGGTAAAAAATATATATGATTAGAAAAATCTAAAAGTTCAAAAAAAAGTTTTTTTTCAAAAATTCATCCAAATTAATATCACACTTAGTGTCAACATAATAATAATCAGTGGAATTTTTTGATATTTTATATGAATAATTAAGAGTTAAACCATGGAAATATGTATTTGCCCAATTAAAAAATTAGTATCTTATAAAATAAATAAATATTTTGTGTCCTAAACAACCAAGTAATAGTGTAGCAAGTGGAGCTCATGGTGTCCCCCTTTTTTTTTTCTTTTTTGGGGATATATATATATATATATATATATATATATATACATATATATTATTTATTTGTTGATTTATTTTAACAACTCTGGTGGTCACAACCCTATTTAAGATTTTATATTCGATTAGTAAACTCAATAGATCAAAGAGGTAGAGAGAGAGAGAGAGAGAGAGAGAGAGAGAGAGAGTTGATTTGGTCCTTAAGAAAACTAGTTGTTAAACCAAACACTTTCTCTTTGTTGTAAAGCATCATTATGATGTAAGTATACTACTACTCCCAAGCGATGTATAGGGGTCAACAAAGGGGGGCATTGGACTTGCATCCTAAGATTTGGGATCACCACATTAAATATGAAGCCAATTGGGAAGATGCATTGATCATCCAAGAACAAGGAGGCTTCCATTGCTTTATCGACTCCATCTCCATCTAAATCATTGATCAATTTGGGATCACCGCATTAAATATGAAGCCATTTCTCTTGTTCTTTGATCAAACATCTCATATCATTTATGGAATTATTTGATTTTATATCGAATTGTCATGTGGGGGATAATCATTGACTTTTTTTTTTAGTATTAAGAGTTACGTTATTAATAACGACATTGACTCTCTTCGATCTTGTGAGTTGACATTTATACACTAATATAAATAATAAACATAGTAAAGATTTTTATAGTATATCGTAAAATCATGAGCTCGAATTACGTCTTCATCATTTTTCTATAAAAAATATATAATATATTTTAAAATTTTTATTTAATATTCGATTAACATCATGGAGTAGAGTGGATTCATCCATTTTTCAAGAAGAAATATGTACTCAACTTCTCATCATGCATCAAAATCTTTATACAGCGGCGTGATTATTAAGGCCCACGTGGTGGTACGTGGCGGCATGATGATCCATCATCACCAACGAGTGACGACCATTGATCGAGTATAACCCGTCCATCATCCTTTGATTGATTTGGAACCGTGAGATCACCATTCATGATGTGATGACTGGTTTATTGGATCCATTAAGAAGCTCGTCGATTTGGGTATGGATCCGAGAATATGCTGTTAGATGTATGGACCCGATACGCACAGAAATGTCAGATCCGCTTTCCCATGTGGCTCGATCCGTCACCGTAATCGCCAGCCCGACCCACTTTGTACCTTCGGTCTCCTATAAATAGAGCGCTGCCGTGGGCTGTCCTCCCCGCGATTCCCGCCCACCTTCACCTCAAGAAAACCACCGCCAGGAAGCCTCGTCGCCCTCGCCGGTGAACGATCATCCGAATCACCTGCCTCCGTTATGCTTGATGAGGAAGTCCCCGATCTCGAATCTGAGGGCCGTGGGATCTCCGGGGGAGGGCCGATGATGTAGGTGGGTTCGAGGAATGTGGGTTAGGGTTGGATGCGAGGATGATGGGTGTTACTCATGGTTTGTGTTATTGTGAGTAGTTGCCATCCCCAACTTTTCAGATGTATCTATTGTGATGGCGTGGCATGAGACGCAGAGATTAGATCTATCGTTTGGGAATTTGTCATGACAAGGTGAGTATTACAGCATCCTCTAAATTCCTTAGATTCTAATCCATGCATAATGTTGTTGTAGTTTGCTATGAAAGGAATATTTTGTTATATGTGACTTAGGTATGATCACAAATCAACGAGATTCGTTTCTTCGGAAGCTCCAACTTTGCTCTATTAATCACTGCTAAGGACATCTGCTACACGTTCATTCTAGCCAATCCAAAGACTCAGTGTCCTAAATAGAGTTATAACGAGGTCTATGAGAAACTCAGGATATCTGAAGTCAGACTTTGGAAGTAATGCAGTCTATGCTGGTAAGTTTATGCAGTTCCTATTCTTTATATGCTCTTATTTCACATATATATGTGCATAGCTGTGCAGATATGTATCACTTTGCACATTTTTAATTTGTTGGCCAAGGGGATTAAAGTACTTCGTTTGAAGTTGTAGCAATTCCTACGAAAGACACACTCTTATGAGAGACCAAATTGTGCTGGGCTCAGATCTTTCACATTAATATCCACCTCTTAATTTTTTAACTTCGTCACTAGGTTATATATATTTTAGTTTGTCTTGTATTTATTTGTGAGGTGCCATTGTCTCACATAACTTTTGTACAAGTGTAGGTTACTTGTGACACTTATTGAAGCTTTATCATTCTCTTCGCTTAAGGAGGTAGGTCTGTTGGCTGAATCATACGAAGGCTATGTGCTGACTATGTGTAATCATTGCTGTTTATCTCTTTTCTCCTCCCTTTTTAGCTTTGTTGTGAGCTTGATTTAGGTTCCCTGATATATACGAAAGGAGCATCATAAGCGACTGCTGTCTTTTTAAATGAGTATATAATTTTGGTTCTGCTTCATAGTTTTGCTTCAGTGTTGCCTTTGATATCTATTTGCTGCCTCATTGGCCTTTATTTGTTTCGCATCTTTATGCAACTTTCTAATTGGATCAATTCCATACTCACATGTCTTTTGATTTTGTTCCACTATGGCAAAATAGTCCCAACTAGTTGGGGCCAACAAAATGGATCTTTTGCCTCTATTGATCTCTGTACAAAATAATATTCTTAGTTAAATTAAAAATAATTTAAATCCTTATATTTTCTGATAGTCTTCTTAGGTCTCCCTTTACCTATCCTCACACCACCAATGCTAATTGTCTCACATTTTCTAACTATAGCATCTATATTTAAAGGAAGGATATTTTCTCTTGTTTTATTTGGTAAAACGTCTTTGTTGGAAATACACATTTGTGCAGTCAATTTACATATCAGGGGTCACCGTCTGTCACTCAATCATGCTTTGTCTTGTATCATTCATACCTTGACCATCGGCTCAGAAGATACAAACACATCTTTTTGTATACTAGAAATCACCAATTAACGTAGTATCTTTTCAGAGAGTGATCTTTGCCCGTCTTAGCTTATGTGCCTGTTTGGACTTGGTCATGGATATCCTACAGAAAATATCTTGGTGCGGACATTACTCAGTAAGGGGAATAAAATGGTCGGTGATGTAAGGGGAATAAAATGCTGCTTTGGAGTTTAAAATGTTGTTAGGTGTTTTCCTTTGTCTATTGTCATCTTTAATGCCAACATCATGGCAAGAGTCATCAGAATCATTAATACCACTGGTCTGTCATTTCCTGTGTCATTCACTTTCTAATCTTCACCATTTTGGCTCCTCCCTTTTACAAATGAGTATACTCTTCCTGATATGCTGTAATGTCAGCAGGATCCTAGTCGAATGATGCCTCGAGCATGGGCATGACACTCGTCCCTTCATCATTTTAACTTACCAAATTGCCTTTGACATTTTTTGTATCTGTAACAATTAGGAAGCTAGCTATCATATGGTTCAATCCTTTTACTTGGATTAGCCATCTGGAAAGAACTTGATATCTTGTTTTTTCAAAATGTTGGTGCCTCTTACCATGTTATGAAGTGTGTGATATATATTTTCAGTTCTAGTCAAAGCACCAAATTATGTAGGTTACCTTGCCATTAGAACCAGGAAGAAAGATCACAATGCAGATCTTTCTGTGTGAAATAACCTACAAATCGCTTTTTGTTCCAGTTGGGTTTGATGAGAGTGGGCCATGGAAATCTAATGGAAAGGAAAATGGGCCATCTCCTCTTCCCCCTCTGTTGTTGCTTCCACCGCTCCTCGGTTGGATCTTGTTGGCATTGGTGAAATCTAGTGGGCGATCCCTGATCTACTTGCCAGAGGTGGTCAGTTTGGTGACCGAGGGCTAGTGTGACTGAATTTCTCTCTTTGTTCTTTTTTTTTTCTGATTAATCTTTTGTGTCTGGATGGATTCAGTTGAGGGTAATTGCAATGGATTAACAGTGGGGATTCAAAGTCATGGCTGTATGACTATATTTTGAAGAACTCAGATCTCGGATTTGGTTAGAATTTAGCTTGATCAGTTGATCCATGCCAGATTTGATTAAAATTGGCTCTTTGGTAGTCAGTAGCTCCTAAAGTTGAAATTTTGTCATTTTTGGCATTAATTTGCATTGTATGTTTTTTTATCCTTATTCAAGGTTTGAAGCTCCTTTACCAGGAAAGAAATTTTATCCAGCTTGCATGGCATCAAAATCAGCAAAAAATGGTTTTCACATCATTCATTATCAGTTAGATACACTTATTATTGCATTTTGTTTCTGACTCATTCTACTCAATGCCACTGATTATGCAGGATGGTGATTCCTATTTCCACTCCTTACAGAGATACTTGGAATAAGATGAGTAATGTCTGCCTTTTGTATTTCCCTTGATGATTTGTACAATGATACCAATATCTCTTTTTGATTTTCACAAGTATATAAAAGCTTTATTGTTCATATGAGATAGACAAATAATGAGGGAAAATTTACTGATGCTGTAATTTCTGCTGATAAATCAATAATAGCTGTTGGAATTTTCTTTTGCTACTTCTCTTATCAACATCTTTAATATAATACTGAACCTTCACATGATGTTCCTTTGATTCCTTTCTATGTGTCCTTTATTCCCTAATTTTGATTATTCTGCATATTTTTAACATTTTAGTCCACGAAATGCTCTTAGGTTAGAAGACCATGCAACTGACATGATTTTGCCTTCATACCATTTACCACCTGTTATAGCCCCTTTTATGCTTCAAGCAAGTAATGGATTTGTTACACTGAAAATGTTCTTGACTGTTTCTATTGGCAAAACTTGATTAGAATCCTGCCTCACATTTGCTCTTTTGGTCCTTTATTTAATGTTTGTTTTCTTTCATTTTTAGTGTCATAAATATTGCTTTGCTGTTTGTATAAAAGGTTTGTGCTGCTCTATCTATGCCTTTGTTTTGTTTTGAACTATTGTTCTTGATCTCCTCTCTTGTATATGTTATGCCTCAATTGAACATGTTGAAATTTTATCTTTTAGTGGAAAGCTACGACTAGTTAATTTTTGTTCCGCACCAAAATGATTGTCCTTTTGTTTTCCCCACATATGGAGATGGTTGTAAAAAATTAGTAAGCTGTGGTGGAGAAATAAACTGGGTTTTTAGAAATGTCTTTGAGGTAAGTTACATTCACAAGTCGAGATGTCTAGAAGTTCAGTGTATAGCATATCACTTGGTAAATTTTGCCTAGCATCCGGACTACCTGTTGCTTTCTAAGCACCCCCAAGGAGGCCTTTCCTGACGTCAGGAACTCGGGAAATAAGGTTGGTGTGCACTCCTTTAACCACCACAAGTAAGGCCTCTCAGTTGCTTCTGGCAATGTCTAGGCAGGTTAAAGAGTCAGTCAGGCCCAAGTTTTAGTTTGCTATAATATTATCGATTGCTTCCTGATCCTGTTGATCAGCATTATAGTTGGTACCATTGGTGTAACACATTTTCCATTGCTAACCACATCAGTTATTGCTTGTTTAATTTCTTGAGGTTGATCCTGTCTTTGGTTGAGGAGTCATTTGATGCAGAATGTAACTTGCCTGGTCCTAGTGATACTGCTTTTCAAAACTGATAGGTTGGCTTAATGATGCAACTACTTTTGCCCCCGTAAGAACCTTAACATGATTCCGTCTCAAGTTGAGGGGCCATTTGACAGAGAAGCTTGGGATGCAAAAATCAATCTTGCACTATTGTGTCACAGTTCATATGGGGTTCTGAGTTGAACAATTGAGAGGTACGTTCGTGAAGGGACAGTGTAACCTTTCTTAGCTGGATTTTTGACAAAGGGTTCTTGTGCACGAAATGAGCAGTTATTAACATTAATTGTGATAGCTTATGTCAAACTGATCTTCTAGGTTGAGAAGTGTAAGTTTGAGTTGATGGTAAATGATGAGACCATTAAGTTTTGGCAATCATCAAATTATCTATATTCTTTTGTTATGTCGTCCTTCAATCATGGTGCTTGGTGGTCGCACCGGTAAGGTTTGTTTGTTTAATATGGGCCAAGACCATGATGAGGTTATTAGGATTGCAAACGAGTGAAGTTTGGTAGGAGAATGCGAGTTTTTAGCCAAGCTTGATGTCTGAAATCGGCTTTGATTTCAGGGAAGTTCAAGTTAAGTTTAGGCCTAGCTCAACAAGAGTGTGTTTAAACTTTTTTGACTTATCAAATAAGTGGAGCTGGAGCTTATATATGAAATGACACAAGTTCGGACTGTGTAAAGATCTAGTTATTATTTAAACCAAAAAAAGTTACCAAAATTTAACTAATTTAATCTGGGTAAATTTATATTATTTAATGGGAAATAAACACAAATGTAAAAATAACTAATACATAGGATCCATAATCTACTGTAATATAAAAAGATGATCTGTCATGCACTCTCATCAAATCTTCCTTTATAGTTTCAACATAATTTATATTGATTGATATATCACTTTTAAAGATTCACAAAAAATAAATATGAGCCTGATCCACTTGTACAAAAAAAAAAAAAAGTTTTAAATTATTTAATCAATAGTAATGACATGTCTAGGTTGATACCCACCATATACAAGTGTCTTTTGAGTTTATAAAGCATTTTAATGGCAGTTCTATCAATATGCCAACCGTTTATGATATTATAAATCAGTATATACTAAACCTTCATGATTGGTTATGCATTGAGGATTTGAGACTATCCAGAGAATTTATTGAAGATATCAGATAGGTTACCTGGTAAAGTTCTTAATTGTTGATAGTAAGATCCCAGGATCTGATGCTGTAAAAACAAACGAGCGTATGCTGGCAAGCCTAGAAACAATCTTTTTTGGTGAGTTTATTAAACATGCTTATTCATGTGAGTATTAGCCAATTAGTTTGGCTACGTTTTCTGATGACAATGTCATGTGGAAGCTGGGCTCATCTGAAAATGAAGCTTTGAGAGATGGATTCGAATATGATTCATAAATATTTATGAAGGAGCTGGAGAGATTTAACTAGTCTAATATCAAGGTGTTCGTGAATGGTTTGACTAATAATGAATTATCCAATAATATGAACTTGGTATTTTGGGCTTGTAAGTCGAGTGTTCTTAAAACTACATATGTATGGTGGAACTAAAATTTCATCATGAGATTGGAACGAGACATGATAAAACAAGGGTTGAAATCGTGTTAGACAAAAGGTGTAACTTTAGGTAGCAGCAGGAGCTAAAACTTTTTCTTTCAAAGAGTCGGAAGAATATTAGGAGACAAAACGAGACTCGAATGAATGAATGTAATGCGGAAAGCCAGAAGGAAACTATAAATTTTATTGTACTTAGTTTTGCATATAGAAATCGGTGGGAAGGAAGTAGGATGCATGTAGAGCCCCTTGTGAAGTTGATTGGACCTACCTGCCTTTAGGTATACGATTGTATTCCCAGCGCTCCCCATTGCCTGTCATTTTTGGTGCCAAACGAACCCAGGGAGTGCCTTCCATGCGTACTGAAAACGACCCTCCAACCACATCTACTTCTTGGATTCTTTGGTGGATTTGCAGCCCAATCCCTCAAATTAATTGGAGGAATGTTTTTTTTTTAATGTTTATCCGTTAGTTGTTACTTCTTTGAGAGGACAGTGTGGTAGTCACTGCCTTTTTTTCCTTTCCTTTTCTTCTAATGGTTGAGCAAAGCCTTAGCTGGCCCTGCTTTCCTCCTTTTTCTCCTAATGGGTGAGCAAAGCCTTAGCTGGCCCTGCAACCTTAGGATGGCGAGTGGTACTATAAAGTAGTACTCCAATTATAAGTATGCGTGTGGTGGTGGTGGTCGTGGGTGTAGGGAGGTGTCATTAGATTGAATTTTTGTTTCTTTCAAGTATTATTTATTTTTTACCGTCCACAAATGGAGGAGATCAAGGCATCAGATATGGTGACCCGGAAGAAAATGAAAAAGAGATAGAACCATAAGCCTAAATCCACAGATAAAAGTCAAGTTATATATAGTTTTATATATATATATATATATATATATATATATATATATATATATATATATATATATATATATATATAAGGCAGAACACATGATTCTCTGCACCATATGCTGGCCCTTGCGTTAGAGATATGTGTTTAAGGTATTAGTGCTGGGAATGTGAGATCAGTTTGATAGTTAATATAAATTTTGATTCTTAGGACAACACAGCCCCACTAATGAACGGACATCATTTATGCAGAGACCTTGGCCCATATGATCTGATGATTCTGTTCTGATCATCCTGTTGTTTAATACTCCAATTATCAAAAGATAAGGTAGCCAGAAAGGGAGAAATGCTGTATGTTCAAATATTTGGGAGCTTGTACATGGACGATAAACAATTGAAGAAATTTGGGGTGGGGGGACAGGAGCATCAGGGCAATGTCATATCTATCTGAAAGCCACCACAGTATGGAAATGAGATGTCTGTACTCAAGCAGTGTTTTCACCCAGCAAAAAGCATGCAGCTTTTGCTCTTGCTCTTACTCACCCACCCACCCCCTCCCCTCCCCTCTAGGAGAAAAGATAATAAGAAAAGAGAGACAGAGAGAGAAGATAGAAAGGCTACAGCGTATTCTTGGCCGTAAAGTTCGGGTGTGACATAGAATCCAGCTGATACCCACATGGGAGGTTGGCTCGGCTTCCCTTCCTTCCCCCCTCCCTGATTGCACTTCCTCACCTTTTGTAGTTAATGTTGTGCCCTGGCGAAGGCCCTTCGATGGGATACCAACTGGAAGTGTTCCAGGGAATCAAGAGAATTGAACTATTCACAGTCAGACACATGAACTCCTCTCTTTCAACTTCAAAAATCCTTGTTTGGTTGACTTGACTGCCGAAGAGAGTGTGGCTTGTAGAAGTTTTTCTTCGGCAGAGTAATTGTCCCAACAGGTGACGCTGCGGGGAGGAAGAGACCATAAGCCTGGATTTGTATGAGTAAAATGAGAGGGACCAGAAAGGTGGGGATGGGATCACCTGGACAGAGTGTTCTAGGAACAAGCATACGATATTTTAAATCCTGAAATATAGTTGTTTTGCGTTTGATCATGAGTTTAAATTGGTCAGGTTGGTCTTTGTAATCTTCTGCACCAACTATCTTATATGTGCACAGGAAGTGGTCCTTCTTCAGGGTTTGGATGAATGAGCGACAGTAGTATACTCTGTCCAGTATTTCTCGACGAGATCTAGCATAGTGCAGCTTCTCTTGGCATTTACTCTTGTGATCGCAAAGCTTACTGCAGCTCAGAGAGGTGTTGTCAAGGACAGTGACCGACATTGTCACATGGTGCTGAATCAGTGGAGAGGCTTTGGTGGGGTCTGGGAGAAGTAATTTAATCATAGCATCTTGGAACAGTATGCGATATATATATATCTCTCCACTACCTTCTTGATTAATTATGATTTGATATGAAACTCTGACTGGAAAAAGAATCATGGAGCCACCAGTCCATGCGTTGCCGCAGGACTAGGAGGAGGGAGGAGTTTACTCGAAGGACATTGAAGCTTCTTAT